GGGGGGGGGGAGGAAAGGGGGTGACAAGGACTCACCACTCACCCTGCTGAGATGTTCTTCGTAAAGGGCTTCCGTGAAGAGCCGCCGGAGGAGCTCTAGCTGGCCCTGGAGAAACAATGCCACAACGTTAGCAAGGAGAGGAGCCTCAAGGCAGGCGGGGCAGCTTTAAATCCAGCCGACGAGCAGAGACTGGAGCAGGCCTGAAGGCTCTTTGTGCCACCACCGCTCGTCAGAAAGATGCTGGTCTGAATTGCCCCCAAGCTGGCAGACATCAAAAGCCACCGCCACCCGTGGCTGCGCACCCACGAGCAAAGCATTGGTGTCTGGCCACTCCCTATTGGGGAAGCAACCTCAGCATGGAAACCACTGGCACGAACTACTCCTTTCTCAGCGGACAGGCCACAGCTTGGTCTGTCTACCATGGAACCAGGGCAATATACTGGCTTAATGGCCACAGCTCCCTCTAGTGGCTGGTCCAACAGCCTGCCGCTTACTGAGCACTAGAGGAGAACTCCTTTAGCTCAAGTGGAGGAGGCCCCCGCTTTGGACGCTGACAGTTCCGGTTCTGGTCACTGCTGGGGACCGTGGTGTCTCTCTCTCTGTGACCAAGGGTTTGTACACAAGCGGGGCCTTCGGAGGGAAAGGAGAGGAACTCAGGGATCGCCGCAAACAACCCTGCCTCCCCGCAAAGACCCAAGCACTCCAGTGGCGTGACACACTGACCTTAAATTTGTCCCCCAGCAGCTTGTGGACGATCTCCTCTTCTTCGTTGGCCGTTTTGCTGCAGAACTGAGAGAAAAGCTTTATCCACCAGTCCTTGTCCTTCGCCTGAAACGTATCAAACAGCCGCTCAAACCGGCACTCCAGCAGGAGGGAAGTGGGAGGGGGCTACGCGAGATGGCAGGATCCAGATCTGGACGCTATTTAGGCCAGAACATTAGCACCGCTACAGCGATGTTTAACCCTTGGAATACGAGCGGGCCAGAGAAAGAAAAGGGGAGGAAAGCTGGTTTTGGGTTTAACGCACAGGGTGGGGACTCAGGAGATCGGGGTTCAATTCCCTGTTGTGCCACAGACACCCTCTGTGACTTTGGGCAAGTCACTCGGTGCCTCAGTTTCCCAATCTGTGACATAAGGATAATACTTCTCTACTTGAGATGGGAGCTGTGAGGATATACAGGTGAGACACTCAGACACACAGCAGTGGGGCCCATGTGGGGAGCTATACAGAGAGGGCAGGAGAAGCCGAGGAGAGTATGCCATGGGGGGGGAGGGTATTAATGCGATGGGCACAGCCCAGTTCCACGGTGATAGGCAAACTCAGGTCTCCCTTTGCTAAGCTGGAGGGGAAGCCATGGATGTGTGATAACAGCTTTGACTCCCGGTAACCTGATGGGATGAGGGACGACAAAACCCCAAACTCCACTGCAGGAAACGCACAGTTAAGGGGCTGCTTCATACACAGCCATAACCCTCTTTATAAAGAGCTGTCCCAGGCTTGTGGGAAGACCCAGGGAATAGGAGCAGATCACTCATCATGCAGATGACAGATGCCTTCTCAAGACACGCTAACCCAGATGTTAGCCCATAAAGATCACCTCCCACGGCACAGCTACACCACATGGGTGGGTGTGCATATTTATTCCGCCCTTATCACCATGGTATCCAAGGCCCTTATAGAATCTGTGCTAACAGCAGCCTCCGATTTCCCACAGCAACAGGCATCTTCACAATGAAGTGCCCAGCACAAGCCCTGAGACAGAAGGAGCTGGAGCAGTGTCATGCTGTCAGGACGGTGACGCAGAGGCCCAGGCTGTGGTGGGACGTCCTGGTTGGTGCATCCATGTCCCACTGCCAGGTGGAATCTGACCTGCCTGACGCATCTGTGGTTGGTTCACCCTCTAGTGACCGGAGGCCTCCAAAGAGCTTAGATGCTCTAGAGCTAATGACAGTGGAAGGAGGGGCTGCTTCTGGGGCAGGTGGTCATGAGGTCCTTCTCTGCTGCGTGCTGTCTCAGCAACGCATGATCCCTAGTGCTGGTAAGTGCATGCAGTGCGGCGAGACATCCCGAGCCCCGCATGCTGATGTGCCGGGAGGTTAGCTTACAGCATGTCTACGCTGCAAAGTGGAGGTGTGGTTGTAGAATACCCAGGCTAGCTTTAACCTTAGCAGTGAAGATGTAGGGAAGACATGTCAACATGGGATCCAGCAGGGCCCCCCCCCCAAATGAAATTAATAGGCAGCAGGTTTAAAACAAAGGGAAGTATTTCTTCACACAAAGCACAGTCAACCTGTGGAACTCCTTGCCAGAGGATGTTGTGACGGCCAAGACTATAACAGTGTTCAAAAAAAGAACTAGAGAAGTTCGTGGAGGATGGATCCATCGATGGCTATTAGCCAGAATGGGCAGGGATGGTGTCCCTAGCCTCTGTTTGCCAGAAGCTGGGAATGGGCGACAGGGGATGGATCACTTGATGATTCCCTGTTCTGTTCATTCCCTCTGGGACACCTGGCATTGGCCACTGTCAGAAGACAGGAGACTGGTCTAGATGGACCTTTGGTCTGACCCAGTATGGCTGTTCTTATGAGCTAACAACCAAGTAAAAGCCTGCACAGGACCCTGGATATGTCCTCGGGTTGATAACCTGTGCCACCACGTTGTCGCTACTGCTGTGAACCCTGCTAGCTAGACTAAAGCTAGCATGGGCACGCCTACTGGCGCTACAATCATCCCTTCACTTTGCAACGCAGACGTACCCCTAGAGAGGGGAGGGCAGACACCAGGGAGCAACACGAAGGAGGTGCCGAGATGTACCTAGCACCATGAGCAGCAAACAGAGGCACGCACCTGTTTGACGGTGGCTACCATCCTCGCCAGCAGCATGATGCTGGAAGTCTCCGGTGGGTAATGGATGTTTCTGTCCAAGGGGAAGGAATAATATAGAGAGAGTGAGAAGAGCAGAGATGTCCTGGCACTGAAAGGGCCAGCAGGGTGTTTGCGCCTCGAAGGGAGACAGAGACCGGAATCCCACACACAGCCTCGTTCAGACGCAGACATCGGACTGACACAAACAGCCCAGAAGCTCCTTAGGGGAAGTGGAAATTAACCAAGTTCTAAAAGGCGCAGCAGGGGTATTTATGGAGGTCTGGTTATAGAGCTGTCCAAAGGGGCAACTTCCTGCCCTGCCTTTGGACTCTAGCAGGGGACCGTCCAGGTCTGGTCTACCGCTCATTTCTCTGCTTGTTGACAGTGAAACAGCTAAAGGCAGCAAGGCCTAGGGGCTCCAGCACTCGAGAGACTCCAGCTCTGTCATGTGACCTTCAGTAAGTCAGTTCCCCGCCTTCCCCTCCCACCCGTTGTCTATTCAGATTGTAAATTCTTTGGGGCAGGGACTAGAGTTACTCGGTGTATGTACAGCACCCAGCACAATGCGATTACAGCTCTGATAGGGGTTTCTGGGTGCTACTATAATACAAGTAACCGAAGAGCCAACTAAAAATGTACGTGTTAAACCTAGTGAGTTGTTGTCTAATGTTTAAGCAGAGGGCTGGAGTCAGGAGAACTTGGCTCTGTTACCACCTTGATCATGTCCCTTCTCCGTGCCTCAGTTTCTTCATCTGCAAGCGGGGATAATAATTTCTCTCTCTCTCTCTCTCTCAGGGATGTTGGGAGGCTTAATTCAATAATGTCTGTGAAGTGCTTTGAGATCCACAGATGGCGCCACAGAACTGCAAAGTACTGTAATCAACTGACTAGTGTACACATGCTCTATTGCCCTCTACTGGATGGAATCAGAATTGCTCAGCTGGATGTCAGAGCCCCTATACGGCTAATGGAGATTCTCTCTTAGCTCAAGCGACGGAGGCTTGTGCTTCAGGAGCAGGAGGATCCACGCTCTGTTCCCACGGAGGCCGTGAAGTTCTGAGTGGCCGTGGGATGCAGCACAGTGACAACTGCCTAGCGTAGGTGGCCCTGGATGGTTTACATGGTCATAGGCTGGAACAGTGGAGCTGTGGGTGCCTCTGCAGAGACAGAGCAGTAACTAACCCTGCTCCAAACCACCTTCAGCTGGACACAGGGTGAGTCCCCGTCTCTGCTCCCGAATGGGCCAGAGCCAGTCTATTCAGTAGGTAGTTCTGGTCCTACAAACATCTAGTGCACCTACCTCCAGGCGTCCTGCAGTTTGTTGAGGGGATGTTTGGGGTCCTCTCGGGAGGGGCCCAGGCACAGCACCTGGTGGTATTGTTCAAAGGCAGATTGCCTGCATTCAGCACTGCAATACGCAACCTGGACAGCAACAGAGACAGCAACACACATCAGCCGACAGAAGAGTAACTTAGGAACTTAGCTCTTAGGAAAGTGACCAACCCTTCAAGGCCAGCCATTTTCCTAGTGACCTAGGGAGAGCACTGTGGTAGGAAGGAGGGGGCTCCTGAGATCAGTCCTACCCCAGCCCACCTCCGCTTAGTACAGAGTCCTGGCCCCTATCTATTGCAAGGAAGCAGGGGGTGGCAAAGGCATGTGCCTTCCCCCTGGGGGAACCCCTCCTCAGACACAGCTGCCCCTGTGAGCACCAGGATATGGAAATTCTCCCCTGCACCCCCATTGTGTAAGACCAGGCTGCAGAGTGGGAAGAACTGGCCTAGGTGACCCAGGTGGTCCTGCCCAGTCAGATGCTCTCTCCATCAATAGAGAGGAAACCAATTCAACCTTCCCGATGAGAGCGCCCCAACACCAGGGCAGCAGCAGCAGCAATGGCAGATCTGAAAGGGACGTGGCCTCCTTGCAGATCAAGCCCCATCCCGATCGATCAACACAAGGCCACAGCGATGGCAACTCCCAGCTCTCCCCAGCAGCCTGGTACCTGGCAAAGGGGGCAGTGCTGATGCAAATCCTTCCGGATGCTGCACTGCTCTGGGTGAGGCAGGATCCGACAGCTTTTCCCCAGAAGCCTCTGCGCGTTCTCTTCTGCCGTCTCCAAGGCCCGCAGGCAGTGGTCGCAGGCTGGGGAAGAAGAAACAAGCCAGACGGCAGAGACTGAGAGAACCTCTTTCTAAAAGAACAGATGCGTTTGCATGCAGTGGGCCAGATCCTTGGCTGGTGTTTTAGTGTGGGTCCATTAACTTCAGTGGCGCAACACTGGTTTACAGTTGCTGAGAATCTGGTTCACTATCCCACTCAAAACCACCACTCTGAAAACATCACAGGCCCAACACCGTCCGTAGAAACATAGCCCTCATTATCTGCACCACTTCCCGCCTTCTTTAACTCCCTTTGCCACCAAACTGATCTGCGATGATAAACCCTTCTGCTACACAGCTCCTGCCATCCGAAATGGCCTCCATGTATCTCCCTACCTCACTGATTCTTCATGCCACTTCAGATCTCAGCTGGAAACCTTTTCTCCCTGTCCTGAAGCTCTTTCTTGGTTTCTCTCCCCATCTGTCATCATCGATTCATAGATTCTAGGACTGGAAGGGACCTCGAGAGGTCATCGAGTCCAGTCCCCTGCCCGCAT